GAAGGCTGATAAAATGGGAGTGAGCCCAGTGGAGAACATCCAAAGTTCAAAAACAAAGGTCCCATACATGTGCCCCCTTGACAGGAAATGTAAGGTACCAATGTGGAATTGTCTGAATGAATCATGATGATTTTCTCCTTCAATAGAGGTAGACTTTGAACCATTGCCCATTGGACAGCAAGGAGTTCTGAAATGTGGATGTCAAAGGAAGATTAATTGTCTGTCCATAGACCTTGGAATTCCTGACTATTGATACATGCCCTCCATCCCTGAAGTGAAGCATCTGTGAAAAGATGAACCTCAGGACAAGGAGGCAACAGAAGAACACCGATATAGTATTGTTCTGATCCAACCACCATTCGAGATCTAAGATGCAGCTCCTGAGTAAGGTGAATGGATGATCCAGGGGATTGGAGTTCAGCATAGCAAACACTGAAGGGATCACATGTGTGCCCATCCAAAAGGAGATTCAAGGAATGCCCACATTCCCAAAAGAGAGAGAACCATCCATGCAGTAGGAGAAGGAGATGTGAGTAAGAGCCTGACCACCCATTCCATAGCATGGAGCCTGATGGGAGTCCTCTGAGCCTGACTTAAATATGTGTTTAAAATAAACACCCAGATGGACAATGTATTGAGTCAACAATAGAATGGTTTCTTGGTTATGATAAGAATGCCAGCTTTGCTGGCTTCTGAAAGGAGAATCTGGATGTGTTGTTCCACCTACTGACGGAATGGTGCCAGAAGTAACCAGTCATCCATATAATGATGTGTGCACAGGCCCAAAGAATGAAGGCGACGAGAAAAAGCTTGTACAACTCAGCAGAAGACATATGGTGCAGATGCTGGCCAAAGGGCAGAGCTCTGAACTGCAGAACCTGACCCTTCTGCATGAAACATAGAAATTGGTGGGATGATGTAGCTATGGGAATGTGGAGATACGTGTTGCCAACATCAAACTTGTTCATCCACAAACCTGGTGAAAAATGCTAAAGTAGACTGAGAAAGAACTCAATCGTGAACCTTGGAAGATCCAAGAATTGGTTGAGACGAGAAAATCGATGATTGGATGCCAATTTCCCATCTTTTTGGGCACAATAAATAAATGGGAATAAAATCCTGGAAGAATGGGATCGACTCTCTCTACTGCCCCCCTTGACAAACAACTCCCTTATAGCCCTGGAACAAAGATCCACATTCCATGGATCTGTTGAAGGCAGAAACACCACAGATCGGGAGAATAAAAGGGATGTGAACTGAATGACCCACCTGATGATAGAACTTGGAGTACCCAGATGTCCAAAAAATGATGTAACCTCGCTCCCACAGACCCCCACCAGCATAGGATAGTCACCGATGCTGTTGGCAAGGATAAGGACAGAATCTATTGTGAGTACCAATAGAAAGAGGAACTGAAGTCTAGGGTTGGGACACTCGACAAGCAGTCGTGTCCAGACTTCCACCCTGCTGAAGAAAGTCAAGACGCCATCGATAACAAGGAAGAATGCAAACTAGCAACATCAAACTATGATTCCAATGCTTCTGGAATGCCCATAAACAACAAGAGATGAAGAAAAGGAGCTTCCTGTAATTCAAGGAGGGCAGCAGCAGGTAGATGAACTCCCTCCAACAAGGCATCTTTACTCAATAAGTCCCAACAACATACGAGCCAGGAAAAAAGAAAGAGCTGAAGCTGACAATCTGACCATTGTAGAAGTCAGCAAAGGACCCAATTTGTCCTCAAATTGATGTGGGGATTGCTGAGAGGCTTCCAACAAAAGTTGAAGGGAAGATAAATATCTCAGGACAGTAATGAGGGTCGGATGAATCCGAGAAAATAGTGATCTGTTCAAAGTGATCACAGGCTCCAGCCTGGAACTCCACATGTCCAAAAGAGAATCCAGTCTTTGGAAATCTAAATATACATCCTCCTGGCTGTGATTAGCCAACAAACATGGGGAATAAGGCATAGCTATCCCATCACGTAACTGAGTGGTAAACCTCCCAGCATGAACAGCAATATAAATTGAAGGAGGAAAATCTAAGTAGTCACCCTCAGACTTTTCTGCCACCAAGAAAGGAGCAGACTCAAAAGCAACCGGGGAAAGCCCCAAAACCTCACCGACTAACTGAAGAAAAGGAGCAGGAGGTGGTTGATCCAAATTGGCCTTGTGAGAAGCCAACCTAATAAAGGAAGGCACCAGAAAAAGCAAGTCCAAATTCTCACCAGAATGTCCTGGATCATTGGCAAAAGAAGCCTCAGAACCCCCAGTCCAAATATATGTATTCAACGATTCAACTCATGGACAGCCTAAACTGAGAGTGACCATTCCCCCGGACCATCGAGAGATGCTAGATAGCAGAGGTGAAATAGGGTAGGTTTGTTAGCCTCCCTACTGAAAACAGTGATCCTAGAATTCATGACCAAAAATGGTGTGTCGAAAACAAGTTGTTTTTTTTAATTTAGTAAAATATAATTGTACGGAAATCAACAAGGCGATGCTAAAATTGCAATTAAGGACATAAACAATAACAGCACTTCATTTAAGAAACCCGTGTCTAAATGCTTTGTCAGGAAAAAGTGATTACATTACATGAATGAGGTGCTTATATACCAGGATTGAGGGTGCATTGACGTATGTGGAGAATATCACAAGACTGGAACAAGCAAGAAAAAATCAGACCAATGCTTGGATGGAAGTCAACGAATAGCTATAGGTGTCAGTGGAGATATGTTTTGGAATGACTCTTAACTTATGCTTGAATTGGTAAGAAAGTACATAGCTAGGTAATTCAAATAATTATTTTGGCAAATCATTTAGTAATAAAAGGTTTATAAATGTTAATGTATATATATATATATATATATTTCTCCTTTTCTTGGATTAATATCCATTGACAAGTACGTGCTAGGATCAGTGTTTGCCAATACCCAACAGAATTCCTATTAAAATATGGGAGGGAGAGGAGTTAGAAAATTACTGGTTGAAATATCACGTTTTTATACAAAAAATAGTGCTAAATCTACAGTGACAAATACTAATGGTAGACATTTATGTTAGAAACTCTAGGAAAAACAATGAAATAATTCTTGAAATTCATCAAAATATTTTGAAAAAATATGGGACTTATTCTTTAATTTTTTTTCTGCTGAATGTGTGGAAACTCTGAAAGCTACAATTTGAAAAAACAAGAATGTAAAAAACTGGTTCTTAGGAAATGTATCATGATATGCATACTGTTGGGGTGCCAGCCACAATAAACCAGTAGAACTGCATATACCATTAATAACCAATTAATATAAAACCTTTAAGAACAATCACAGAGCATGTTAAAATAACACAGAAAATAATTATGAATCAAATGAGTACTGTTTTCATTAGCAACAGTCTAAAGAATCAACAAGCATAAAGGTATCAAAGCATTATTTTCATCATTTGTAAGAGTATTTCACTGAAAATCTTGAAGTCTTTAACATACAATTTACAGTGATGCTATTTTACAAACTTCTACAGTTTTAATAATTTACAGGAAAAACTATTTTTGAAACACTGCTTAAATGTTTTTTTTAACAATGAAAAATTAAAGAAACCTTATGAAGTTACATCAAAAATACTTTACCATGAGGCTGTCACCAGCATATTTGAGTTTGGACTAAACTGACAGAAAGAAATTGGTCTTGTATCACCAATTTGACTGCAGTTGATGTTTAACGTCTAAAATAATGTTAAAACAGTGCATATTAATAACCTCTTTAAGCACCATTTAAATATGCCAATTTGCTCAATAAATTGTCACAATACACGTCATTCCAACAATGAAATCTCAATATCTCAGTTTTTCTTAGTGTTGCACTAATGAATATCATTACAAACATAGTTTATAAAATAATCAAAAACACTTTTTGCATATTTAAAAAATAATTGCTTTCATAGTTTCATAAAATAATTTTTCAAATAATTTCATAAAATGTATGCAGTATTAATTCAGTCAAACAAACTAAATGTTTTTAAATACAACTGCGTTTATAACACTGTTGTTTTTTTTTTACTGATAATGGGTGGATCTAAAACAAACTAATAATCTTATAAACAACTAGTTGGTTAAATCTAACTTTTTTAAACGTAAAATTATGAAAATATATACCTATACAAAAATTAACTTAAAACAAGTAACCTTGATTCAAAACACAGGTATAATTTTTTCAAACCAATAATAAAAATGGAGACATTAGCATGATTTATTATCACCTAATTAAAGCTCAATAAATTAATTTGCATGTTTTTATTCAGAGTTATTAATTAAAGTTATATTATTGTCAATTAGTTTATGATATTTTGAAGCAAGTACCCAAAATATTTACCTAAGATCAATTAGAACCACCTGCCCATCTGTGTGACAAAAAATAGAAATGTGGACTCACAAAGGCACAGCCAAACCTCACTTACATAGCTATTCTTATTGGAATAAAATGAACAGGATATACAGTAACTTTCCTACTTACGTCGGGGATGTGTTCCTAGAAAATACAATGCTAGGCGGATCAACGTAAATGCGCTGCTATTTTCCCACTGACTTATGTTATAAAGGGAAGATGCATTCCTAGACACCCATACTTAACCTAGCCCAACATAAAAACATAGAAAATAAATAAATCAATACAAGACACTCATATTTAAGGGTTTTTAGAAAGTTTGATGCAAAAACAATCACAGGGAATATCACTCAATACTGGCCGACAGGACAGACAATGTACAACTGAGGCCGAGAGAGGTGATGGCAAGCTAGCTTGACCTGACTCCTAGGAGTGGAAAATCACCTGCACAGTGCAATTACTTATTGTCATGACACAGCATAGGCCTAGGCATTTGGTTTGAATATTCTGTTTTTGGCACATGCTGTGAAAAACAGCATTAAACCAGATTTAACCAACCTCTTAATGACCTTATATTAGATTGATGTAAATGGGAGAGATACTGGAGTTGTATATGTACATAATCTGTCTACTTTAAAAATGCTACTAGTAGACTAGTGTTAACTTGTTATAATACTGAAACAAAAATATTATTAAAAATAACGCAACAGTCTTGCAAGTCAAGCTTCAGAACCGGTCAGTAAAGTCTACTATAATTTATAGATGTTTCAACTATACACATCATCTATGATGTAATTTTATGTTCATTATCCTCAAAACCTATGAAAACTAAACTTTTACATTCTAATGTAACATTATTACCCTGAGTTTTTTATATAATTCTTGTCGCAAAGCTTTCTTCTGGGAATCTGAGGCTGCCTCTAGGTGAGCTCGCTGTAACCTTTCTTTAGCCCTGAAATAAAAAATATTTTAACAGAAGATGCACATCAAAGTTTTGATTTTATTAATGCTTGCATCTATGAAACAAATTACTTAGTTCTATGTACTTCATGATGTACACACATATGTGTATTTACTGCAATGAATAAATATGAAGACTAGCTACAAGAATGGAACCTACATCACAGCTTAAAAGCTTTTTTGTACCAAAAGAGTTTCAATAGGATTAATGCCTTAATTAGTAAAGTCACTGAAATAAAAACTACTTTGTCATGGAAATTTGTTGCATTATAAAATTTAAGTAGTTACGATCAAGTTCTGTAAAATTTCACAATAGTAACAACTATTTGTATTGGAAGTGAAAATGGTTAAATTTAAATGCCAAAAACTTTAGTTACAAAAAAATGACATAAAAGCTGTAATTAAACTTATTTTACAAAGAAAATGGACAAAACATATTTATTCTTACACAGTCATTTAACAATTGGTACTAAACTGAAGTGATTCTAAATACAAAAAGTAACACAATTCAAAAAACTTGATAAACCAAATTATAGTATTTTGGCACTTGTGTATAAAATCAAAATCATAAATAATATTCAACGTTAAACTGGTACACAATTAAAAGCATTTCATTTAGGCCTATCTATGACCTTCAAAAAGTTAACGACTCTACATGTTTCCTGAGGATGACGTTGTAACGTCAAAACATGTAGATTCGTCAACTTTTTAAAGGCCATACATATATTGTAAAAGTTAAAATTAATTTTGTTTTAAGTGAAAAAAAACTCATACATGAAAAGAGACTGAGATCAACTGAGATCAAATACACTTTATACAGTGCAGTATTATGAGACATTATTAATCTAGTTCAACACTAAGCTTGAGTGCTTATACAGGAATTCAATCCCTGTAGAAGGAACAGTGAAGATTGCCCATCAAACATTTTTGCAGTCAAAACAAACAGTTAATTAATTTTCTTTGTAATAGTTAACATATTGATTCAACTAATTCAAATGATTTTGTAGCAAAAACTATTAACCTACACTCGATCTCAGTCTCTTTTCATGTATGAGTTTTTCACTTAAAACAAAATTAATTTTAACCTTTACAATATAACTCGCATAATCAGCCAAATATTATCTCTTGCAAAGAGATAAAAACTGTAATTAAACTTATTTTCTAATGCACTTTAAGATTGCAAATTTAAACCATAAAACCAACATTAACTGTTGGTAATTCTATGGAAATGTATACTGTTCTAATGACTAAATCAAACTTCTTGCAGTTACAACATTCTGTGTTAAAAAGTATAACTAGTAAAAAAAAATCTTGATGTTTAATAATTTAATGTTCTGTATTAAATTATTCTGGCTTATTTTTCAAGGTTTAAACCAGTGGATACATCAGTAATAATCATAAAAAAGTACCAAAAACATTACTCTTAGAAATGAAACACAACAGTATTCTGTTTATATGTTGTAACTGATAAATTTACTTTATAATTTCTCAACAAAGTTTACTTGAATGTTACATGACCTCTTATACCATTAAAAACATTAAATGTATTTCCCTATAAAAAAAAAATATTGAGGACTTCATTATATTATAAGAAATTTTGAGCAAAGTAGAGTTTATTCAAACTTTGTTATGACAAAGTATGAAACTATTCACACATTCTTTTTTCAGTTTTATTGCTAATTTTTAGTTATATTAATTTGACTGGCTTCAATAAGATTAAAAAAATAAGACATCACAGCATCTAACAATCAAAGATAACTATAAAGATTTTGTATTTTTAATAATACAGTTTTAAATAAAATGCACCACACTCTCAACACTAAACTATGACATTACTTACCGAGGCACAGAATATTGTGCTAGCCAAAGCCTAGCCACCTTCAAACTCTCTGGTCCTTCATGGTACCATGTTGTTTCTTCCTATACATTCATAATACATACAACTGATTTAAAATGCAAGAAAAAGCTAATTAAACATAAGTTGTCTACAGTCAGTACTTTGAAAATGCCAGAGTATGTACTGGTACATTTGATGCGAAAATAACATGCTTGGTAAAACTATTAATGGTTTTCATTATTTACTATTTAAGTCTTAAAGTTGTACTTCATATGCCCTTTGATGTTAGATGTATACTACAAAAAACAATTACAATTTAGTGACAGCACTAAAATGTGTAAAATGTGGTCCATACAACATAGGGCATTAATTATACCATTATGTAAGTCATATAGGTAAGTATTAGGTCGTCAAGAAATTAATGTTGTTTTTTAGATGAAAAAACCCGAACAACTTATATATCAAAACAAAACATTTAGTAAATGAAATAGTCTCCATTCTTATTGATGATGTTTTTCCTTCTTACAATCAGGTTGTTAATGCCCTGATTAACGAAATCACTTGGCTTTGAAACAAAAAACATATCAATGTCCTCTTTAACACCTTCGACATCTGTATATGTTTTTGTTTTCCCATTAAGATGGTGTTGCAGTAAACGTAAAGGTGGTAATCTGATGGTGCCATATCTGGAGAATATGGTGGGTGGGGGAGAACTTCCCAACCCAACTCCATAATCTTCTGTTGCATCAAACATGCCACATGTGGATGTGCATTGTTGTGGAGAAGTAGAACACCTTTTCGATTGACAAGTGAAGGGTGTTTCTAATGAAGAGCGTGATTTAAACGTTGCAGTTGCTAATTATAGACCTCTTCATTGACAGTTCGCTGTGGATTGAGGAGTTTGAAATGAATTTCTCCTTTGATGTCCCACCAAATGCAAAGCATCACTTTCTGCAGATGGAGTCCAGGTTTTGGGATCTGAAGTGGTTTTTGTCATTGGTTTTAGCATTTAATATTTGCATAAAGAATCCATTTTTCATCACTAGTGAAAATTCTTTTCAAAAATGGTTCACGCTCATTACGCGCCAGAGGAGACAAAGCAACGTTCACATGTTGGAAACTATGA